TAATATTAAGCTTGTGTTCTTGTTTAAATGCAAAAATTTTATTGAAGATTCAGATGAAGCTCTTTTCAGAACCAATTATGACAACGGCGTTCGTTAAAGCTTGGCACTTGCTTTCATTTCGAATGTTTTTCTATCTTCTTGGACGCACCATCGGGGAGTATCCGCGCTCTTTCCTCCTACTTTCGGTGAGTTGTGAAAACACACAGTTTTCAGAAATATAGCACTCCTTTAATACTGAACCTGTTTCGGAGCTATGCTCCGAATATCAACAAAACTCTGCCAATATTAAACCGGTTTCTAAAAGTCCCGGTACAAGGTATCCAGTTGGACCACATGTAAGCGATTGAATCCAGCCATAAAAGACGCATGGAAACAGGACAAGTGCTGCAACCTTTTTACTCAGAATGCTATTCTTTCTCATAGTAGAACAATTTAGGGCCTTAAAAAGAGTGTAAAGAAGTGCTTTGATTCAGAGGTTGTGCTATAAGTTTGGGCAAGGGGTCCCAAAAATTTGAAAAAAGGGTGTGAATGGGAGACTAGAAAGTTTTTGCATCGTGGACTTGAAGCCACCTCTAGGTCTCCGCTGGAGACGTAATTTACAACAAGTACAACAATTTCTTTAATCGCATAAGTTCTAGAAAATTACATTTTCAGTTCTTAATTTCTTTGCTGCGATAATCGTAATACGCCTGATGGCTACTCATTGGCTATTTCCTTAGAAGAACGAGATTAGGTAAATTACGGAAGATGTGTACAAATTTATCGCGATATCAATACATGCGATTAAATGCGAAGTATAATCGATGATAGAGGGGTCATTAATAACAAATGATACCCGCGCTTTTTTCAGAATATCATCATGAAATCTTATGGTGACTTATATTCAATATACATAGCGCTTTGTAGTAGTGCCTAATTTTTTTTGGGGCTACTCTGCATAATGTATGTATTTTCAGTTGTTGATTTCTCTAACCACGCTTGGAATGAGAAGAATGGTGCTTCGTGATAGCATACAAGAAGGTTACACACCCCTAAATGCACAATCATTTTACGAGTCTCGTGTGATGCGTGAATTTTCCAACTCAACAGGTTCGTTTATGCTGACGATACAGTTACATTTGAAAATTTCTCAAATTGTTCCCCTAAATGAAGGGAAGAAATATGAGCACATTCAGCTGACCCCATGAAGTTAGCATTTATGATGCTAGCAAAAGATGGAAAATCAATGCATAGAAAAGCGTACCTAGATGAGGCTGAAAGAATTGTCGAAACTATCTACCATCTGACAGTCAAACATGGTAATCGGCATTTAGTGTACCAAAATATATGTGAACCCTACTGCTATGGAGACCAAGTTTTCAAAACTTTCAAGGTTCGTGCTTTTTAGCTGTAAATCCACATATGTTTAAGGGAACGAACTGGTCTTTTTCTCCCATGCTCAAAATTAAGAGAATGTGTCTAATTTACTTGACAAATTTTGGCTTTCCCTTGGGGTTGCCTTATATATTACTTTATAGAAGTCTTCTAAAGCTAAATATACCAGTTAGTATACTTAGATGGCCTGTCTTCACTCCTAGTGCCGGCTGCAACATTGTTTCCAACCGTTTCTCTCTCCCTAGCGTCATTCATGATGCTATTGAATTGCGGTGGCGACGTTCAGATCCGCGTTACCATCTGAGTTTTAGCTGGCCCATCGTACAACGAACACGTCAGCCCATGTGGTCGATGGCCCCCCTCGAAGACATTTTGCTTCGCAGAAGACACATTCCAGAGTTCCTAAATTCCATCTGTTCCTCTCATTATATGACCAGCCCATCGATGTCTAGCTTTAGATATGTATTCCTGGATCGTGAAGATGAGACATTTTATCATCTGAAATACGAAGTCCGACGAGAGGGTGGGACGCTTCTACTTTTAAAGATGTCATTCACTCCGTGAGTTGTTCGGAGAGTCTTCGACCAGCCACAGTGTCAGGCCACATCTCTGCTGCTTAACAGAGCACAGGAAGAACGGATGAATGAACAGCTGGACTCGGAGCTCTGGCCCCGTGGCTGTTCTGTGGCTCCCTTTAAGAAGCCGAAAGCGGCTCTATCTTCGTAGTTCTTTTCCAGTTCGTTCTCCATGTTCACGCCCGAGATATACATAAGAAGACGTCTGCGCGATAGGAGAGCCTTCTAATTCAATTTCCCGATCCTTCCAAAAAGCGTTCTTCATGAACTGAGCCTTCCTCTGGTGATGCGCAGTCCTATCCGCTTCCCTACTTTTTATTAATTAGTTCTTTCATCGTCTCCGCTTCGGGTCAATCCTCGAAAAGAGAACACTGTCGTCCGCAAAAGAAGGTTTGAGAAGAGTCTCTCATCAACTCACCTCTCTCTTTCCAATCCAGTGATTCATTATCCACTGCAAAGTGGCGGTATACAACTTTGGCGACACAGTGCCTTATCGCACCCCTTTTAAATAGGTATGCTAAGGGGCGATGGCGAAGCTATACCGTTGTGGAGCAGTTCTCTTAGCAGCCGCCACGTAAGACGTGTCCAACCTTAGGTCGACGAACGACGGTTTGGCATTAGCCTTGACGCTGTCGAATGCTTTCCCATAACCGACGATAATTAAGACGAGATAGGCGAACTCTACAACGAAATAGTCTGGATGTGATTACAGCTTAATCTCTTACCTAATCTAGCTTGTTCTACTTGTTGTCATTCTTGATATGCGACTGGAAACTAGTGGATTGGAAAACATGCTTCCCAGCTTCCTTGTGGAGGATGACTTGGATTCTCCATTAATCGAGGAACCTGGTCTTTAGAGAAGCAAGTTGCGCCGCTGC